AACTGAGTACAGGAATTCTGTTTATGATAAAGGAGATGTTTTAAATCAATGTGAAAAAAGGAATTTTTGGTAAGTGGTGTTAGTACAATTAGTTTATCTGTTCAAGTAACAGAAAAGTGTAACTTCCTCTCACTCTACCACAGTAAAATTTCATATAAAAAAGGCAAACATTTAAAAAATTGACATTATAAAAATCCTAGATGATCACAGATGAATTATTTATAATATCAGAATGATGAAGGTTTTTAAAAGTAGTACACAAAATCCACAGGCCATATTAATAAATTTGACATAGAAACTTAAAATTTCTGTATTATAAAGTTACAGAAAATTGCTTGCAAATCATTCACTTACTGTGATTTAATATTTCACAATTTAATAAAAAAATTACATGCTATAAATAAACAGAGCTTGTGGGAAAATAGAGACATTCACTTTTCATTTCAAACTTTTGCTATGTTCTGAAATTTCCAAAAGATAAACTGGGAATATTTTTTAGTACACAGGTTTAATTTTCCCTAAATTACAAAAAATGTATACAATCAGGCAAAGATAATAAAAGGTCAATAAAAAGATGGCAAAGGGCATTGATGGGCATTTGCAGAAAAGCTGACCAATAACCAATAACCATCAAAAAATTCTAAATGCAGAGAAGGGAAAAAGATGGCAGAGGAGTAGGGGACCTTATTCCAATCCGTCCCCAGAATCGAGCTGGATATCTACCAATCCACTCTGAACACCCACGAATCAGCCTGAGATGTAAGATGATCTGGATCTCTACAAACAGAATATCACAGGCAGTTAGTTTTGAGGTAGGAAGTGGGGAGCCGTGATTCCTGGGGCAGATATCAGAGGATAAAGAGCAGCGGGAAGGAGCCTGACCATGGGGATCCTACAGCGCCAGTGAGCAATAGCCTCCCGCGCTGGGGACGGGGCACAGACTCGCAGAATGGTAGCAGCAGGGAAAGAACTTTAGGGCAGCCCCCCTGGACACAAACTCGGAGCTGTGGGGCCGTGCCTGGGAACTGGGGGCGGCTGGCAGTTTTAGAAGCACAAAGGGCAGAGACATGCCCCGACCTGGAGGTGAGGACTGGGGGTGCTGCAGAGGGGCACACAACCCAGGCCGCTGCAGTTTATAGCAGCACCGACAGAAAGGGAGATGGTGTGGCCTGAGGAGCTCACTGAAGAACAGTTTGCGATCTCTCTGCTCTGAGGCAGAGGGTTGGGAATGACCTCTTCTGCTCTGACTCTTGGAAGAGACACAGAAAGCCACCAGGGAAAGACGCCAGAGAACAAAAGCCCCCCAAAACCGGTTTTCACTGAGCCCATCCCCCACCACAGGGAGCAGGGCAACTCTGCCCAAACAGGGTTGGCTGACTAACAGCGCGGCAGTCCCCTCCCCCAGAAGACAGGCTGGGAAAACAAGAGATAGCAACCCTAAGTTCTCTAGAAAACAGGTGCATCTTGCTTGGGTTGTGGTCAATAATTCAGACTCTATACATTCCCTCAACCACCCCTCAACACAATGACTAGGAGGAGGAACCTCCAGAATAGGAAAGACTCAGAGATTATGACTTATGCCACAGATTTACAAACAGATTCAGATATAACCAATATGTCCGAGATGGAATTCAGACTAGCAATTGTGAAGACAATAACTAGAATGGAGAAATCAATTAATGGCAACATAGAGTTTCTAAGGGCAGAAATGAAAGCTGAATTGGCAGAACTTAAAAATGCTATCAATGAGATCCAATCTAATCTAGATAATCTAACAGCTAGGGTAAGCAAGGCAGACGAACGAATTAATGATGTGGAAGACCATTTAATATAGAAAAAGGGAAAAGAGGAGGCCAGGGAAAAACAACTCAGAATTCATTAAAATAGAATCAGAGCAATAAGTGACACCATGAAATGTTCCAATGTTAGAATTATTGGAATCCCTGAGGGGGTGGAGAGGGATAGAGGACTAGAAGACATATTTGAGCAAATCATAGCTGAGAACTTCCCTAATCTGGGGAATGAAACAAACATTCGTGTCCTAGAGGCAGAGAGGACCCCTCCCAAGATCAGGGAAAATAGGCCAACACCCCGGCATGTAAGAGTAAAACTCCCAAATCTTAGAACCAAGGCAGTTAAGGGGAAGAGATTCCTTACGCACAGAGGGAGGAACATCAGAATAACATCAGACCTATCCACAGAGACCTGGCAAGCCAGAAAGGCCTGGCAAATCATATTCAGGGTACTAAATGAGAAGAACATGCAGCCAAGAATACTTTATCTGGCAAGGCTGTCATTTAGAATGGATGGAGAGATGCAGAGCTTCCAAGACTGGCAGAAACTGAAAGAATATGTGATCACTAAGCCAGCCCTGTAAGAAATATTAAGAGGGCTTCTATAAAAGGAGAAAGACCCCAAGAGAGATATAAAAAAGAAACTTACAGGGACAATCTATAAAAACAAGGTCTTCACAGGCAACATGATGACAATAAATACATATCTTTCAATAATCACTCTCAACATGGACAGCCTAAATGCTCCCATAAATGGCACAGGGTTGCAGATTGGATAAAAAGACAAGACCCATCCATATGCTGTATACAAGAGACTCATTTTGAACCTAAAGATACATCAAGACTGAAAGTGAAGGCATGGAGATCCATCTTCAATGCCAGTGGACCTCAAAAGAAAGCTGGGGTAGCAATTCTTATATCAGACAAATTAGATTTTAAACTAAAGACTATAGTTAGAGACACAGAAGGACACTATATCATTCTTAAAGGGTCTATCCAACAAGAAGATCTAACAATTGTAAATATCTATGCTCCCAACATTGGAGCAGCCATCTACATAAGCCAACTGGTAACCAAAATAAAAAGTCATATTGATAACAATACGTTAATTGTAGGAGACCTCAATACTCCACTCTCAGCAATGGACAGATCATCTAAGCAGAAAATCAACAAGGAACCAAGAGTTTTGAATGGCACACTGGACCAGATGGACCTCATAGATATATCCCAAACATTCCACCCTAAAACAACAGAACACTCATTCTTCTTGAGCACACATGGAACTTTCTCCAGAATAGACCACATACTGGGTCACATATCAGGTCTCAACAGATACCAAAAGATTGAGATTATTCCCTGCATATTCTCAGACCATAATGCTTTAAAACTGGAGCTCAATCACAACAAAAAATTTGGCAGAAATTCAAACACTTGGAAGCTAAATGCCACTCTGCTCAAGAATGTTTGGGTCAACCAGGAAATCAAAGTAGAACATTAAAAATTCATGGAAACCAATGAGAATGAAAATACATCAGTCCAAAACCTATGGGATACTACAAAGGCGGTCCTAAGGGGGAAAAACATAGCCATCCAAGCCTCACTCAAAAAAATAGAAAAACCCTGAATTCACCAACTAACTCTACATCTTAAAGAACTAGAGAAAAAGCAACAAACGATGCCTAAGCCTCGCATTAGAAGAGAAATAATTAAGATTAGAGCAGAGATCAATGAATTAAAAACCGGGAACACAGTAGATCAGACCAACGAAACTAGAAGTTGGTTCTTTGGAAGAATTAATAAGATCGATAAACCACTGGCCAGACTGATCCAAAAGAAAAGAGAAATGACTCAGATTAATAAAATTATGAATGAAGGGAGAGATCACAACTAACACCAATGAGATGGAAACAATTGTTAGAAATTATTATCAACAACTATATGCCAATAAACTGAGCAATCTGGATGAAATGGATGCCTTCCTGGAAAACAATAAACTCCCAAGAATGAAACAGGAAGAAATGGACAACCTCAATAGGCCAGTAACCAGTAACGAGATTGAAGCAGTGATCAAAAACCTCCCAAAACACAAGAGTCCAGGGCCTGATGGATTCCCTGGGAAATTCTACCAAACATTCAAAGAAGAAATAATACCTATTCTGCTGAAGCTGTTTCAAAAAATAGAAACAGAAGGAAAGCTTCCAGACTCATTTTATGAGGCCAGCATTACCTTAATCCCCAAACCAGGCAAAGACCCCATCAAAAAGGAGAATTTCAGACCAATATCCCTGATGAATATGGATTCCAAAATCCTCAACAAAATCCTAGCTAATATGATCCAACGATACATTAAACGATTCATCCACCACGACCAAGTGGGATTTATCCCCGGGATGCAAGGGTGGTTCAATACTCGCAAATCAATCAATGTGATAGAACACATTAATAAGAGGAGAGAGAAGAACTGTATGTCCTCTCAGTTGATGCAGAAAAAGCATTTGACAAAATACAACATCCTTTCCTGATTAAAACTCTTCAGAGTGTAGGGATAGAGGGAACATTCCTCAAGTTCATAAAATCCATCTATGAAAAACCCACAGCAAATATCATCCACAATGGGGAAAAGCTGAGAGCCTTTCCCTTAAGATCAGGAACGGGTCAAGGATGCCCACTCTCACCACTATTTTTCAACATAGTACTAGAAGTCCTAGCAACAGCAATCAGAAAACAAAAAGAAATAAAAGGTATTCAAATTGGCAAAGAAGAATTCAAACTCTCTCTTTTCGCAGATGACAAGATACTTTATGTGGAAAACCCAAAAGAGTCCACTCCCAAATTACTAGAACTCATACAGCAATTCAGTAATGTGGCAGGATACAAAATCAATGCACAGAAGTCAGTTGCTTTCTTATACACTAACAATGCATCTGTAGAAAGAGAAATTAGAGAAACGATTCCATTTACAATAGCACCAAAAACCATAAGATACCTCAGAATAAACCTAAACAAAGAGGTAGCTCTAGGAGCTACAGAACACTCAGGAAAGAAGTTGAAGAAGACACAAAAATATGAAAAAACATTTCATGCTCATGGTTTGGAAGAATAAACATTGTTAAAATGTCTATGTTACCCAGAGCAAGCTACACCTTCAATGCCATCCCTATCAAAATTCCAGTGACAGCGCATGCATGGCACCTCTCTTCGGTGAGGGGTGGAGAACCGGACTGGGGTGGCCAGCTGGGCTGAGAGCGGAGTGGGGTCAGAATGGATGAGGACGTGCTGACCACCCTGAAGATCCTCATCATCCATGAGTGTGGCGTGGGCAAGTCCAGCCTGCTCTTGAGGTTCAGATGATACTTTTGATCCAGGACTTGCAGCAACGATAGGTGTTGACTTTAAGGTGAAAACAATTTCAGTGGATGGAAATAAGGCTAAACTTGCAATTTGGGATACTGCTGGTCAAGAGAGGTTCAGAACATTAACTCCCAGCTATTATAGAGGTGCACAGGGTGTGATATTAGTTTATGATGTCACAAGAAGAGATACCTTTGTTAAATTGGATAATTGGTTAAATGAATTGGAAACATACTCCACGAGAAATGACATAGTAAAGATGCTAGTTGTAAATAAAATTGATAAGGAAAATCATGAAGTCGATAGAAACGAAGGCCTGAAATTTGCACGAAAGCATTCCATATTATTTACAGAGGCAAGTGCAAAAACCTGTGATGGTGTACAGTGTGCCTTTGAGGAACTTGTTGAAAAGGTCATTCAGACGCCTGGACTGTGGGAAAGTGAGAACCAGAATAAAGGAGTCAAACTGACACACAGGAAAGAAGGCCCTGGAGGAGGAGCCTATGGTGGTTACTGTTCTATGTTATAAACTCTGGGAAACTCCATCTCTTGCATATTTGATCAGAGAGTGACATCTTTCTGTATATAAACTTTAACTGCTATTTTAGGAATCTTGCAGTTTGCGCATATTTGTTTTGTATCATGGCAGTAAATATTTGCAAGAAATCCCACTCATCGGCTTTCCCAGGTACAATGTTATGGTAAGCATGCACAGTTTGCAGTCTACAGTTTTTTATGTAACATAAAATAGGTGTACTTTTTTAAGTACATTTGATTTTATGATTTACATTTATCATGTGATTTAAAAAATCCACCTATCTAGTCTATGTTGGTACAAGGTCTACTTTTGGTCTCTTCCTTGCTTAAATACTCCTCTATCAATTACTGAATTAATTGGTATGTAGAACTCCCAGAACCACTGGGAGATATTCAGGTATCATCAAACCTGGCAAATTTCCTTTCAGGAATAACACAGAGCATGATTCCACAGCTTTTGTAGGATGTTTGCTGACAGATTCTCTTTTGGTACTAAGCGAAATTCTCTACAGGATGCAGTCCAGGCCAATTTATAATTAAATCTCTGTTCTGATGATGCTTCTAAAGTAGCATTGATGTGTTAAGAAGTTTGGTCTTGCTTTTAAATTTTCTTCAATGAGTAGCTCAGTTGCTTAACTGGAGTTTTAACTCTGTGATATGTACATTGGATTCTAACCCTTTGTGCAGCATTTTTAGTTATGTGGTGTTTGGCAGAATGACAATAAGGTTTTCCCCCATTTTGGTTTTGGAAGGATGAGAATAGTGTGTTTATGTAACTCATGTAGTACTTTCCTTACCACTTTAAAAAGCAACACTTTTTCCATAGTTGTTGGTGGGGTTTGTCCAGGTACCTCAATTGTAGCTTGTGTCATGTTTATGAACATCTGTATCTTATGACTTCCCTAAATGGCTAGTTGATATTCAGAAACCTATATCTGTGTTTTGAGGGTTGGGAAAAATAGAACCCTAAGTGACAATATGAGAAAGACAAATTGCTTCCAGATTTTGATGTGTGTGGGAAAATACTGTTGCAATGAAAATCTTGGTAATTTACTGTAACAAGTAGCCAATAGTTTATCAAAACCAACTTGTACAGACTAATAAATCTATTCCACAGTATTCAGATTTCTAACCTCTTGCTATTTTACATTGCCTATTTTTTTCACTCATATGTATTTAATTTAACATTGTTATCTGCTATATTAAGCCCCCAAGTAAGTTATTTGTCCTTTCAAGCAGGTTACCATAATACCCCTCAGTAAGATTTCTGATATTAATTTCTGGGCAGTTTGTTCTTTGTATACAGTTGCAAATGATAGATTTTTTCCTGGATCACCTTTGCAATAACTTGTGATAGTGGATTTACTTCAGGTTGGATTCTTTCTGAACTGTACATCTTCGCATAAGAAAACCTTACATTCTACTTGGTTCACACTTGTGAGACCACATTACATGTGATTAAAGGTTTTATACATTATATATGTATTTACTAAATATAAAACATTTACTCCTTTGCTGTTGGAGAAAGGTAGCTAACACATGTACTTACGATTTGTTTGTGTTACATTAAAGCTGTAGATTTGTATATTTATGTAGTGTCTGTATTGACAAGACATTTATTTCTGTTTATTGCTTTATGCTCCTTGAGCTATATAAATCTTGTGCATTGGAAAAAAAAATTCCAATGACATTTTTCAAAGTGCTGGAACAAACAATCCTAAAATTTGTATGGAATCAGAAAAGACCCGAATCGCCAAGGAAATGTTGAAAAAGAAAAACAAAGCTGGGGGCATCACATTGCCCGATTTCAAGCTATATTACAAAGCAGTGATCACCAAGACAGCATGGTACTGGCACAGAAACAGACATATAGACCAATGGAACAGAATAGAGAGCCCAGATATGGACCCTCAACTCTATGGTCAAATAATCTTCGACAAAGCAGGAAAAAATATGCAATGGAAAAAAAGACAGTCTCTTCAATAAATGGTTCTGGGAAAATTAGACAGCCACATGCAGAGGAATGAAACTCAACTATTCTCTACCCCCATACACAAAGATAAACTCAAAATGGATGAAAGACCTCAATGTGAGACAAGAATTCATCAAAATCCTAGAGGAGAACATGGGCACTAACCTCTTTGACATCGGCTACAGCAAATTCTTTCAAGGTACCTCTCCAAAGCCTAGTGAAACAAAAGCAAAAATGAACTTTTGGGACTTCATCAATATAAAAAACTTCTGCACAGCAAAGGAAACAGTCACCAAAACAAAGAGGCAACCACAAAAACTAATGATGTATTTTATGGTGATTAGCATAACATAATAATAAAAAAAAGAGGCAACCCACAGAATGGGAGAAGGTATTTGCAAATGACACTACAGATAAAGGGCTGGTATCCAAGATCTATAAAGAACTTATCAAACTCACCACCCAAAAAACAAATAATCAAGTCAAAAAGTGGGCAGAAGACATGAACAGACACTTCTCCGAAGACATACAAATGGCTAACAGACACATGAAAAAATGTTCATCATCATTAGCCATCAGGGGAATTCAAATCAAAACCACACTGAGATACCACCCTACACCAGTTAGAATGGCAAAATTGGACAAGGCAAGAAACAACAAATGTTGGAGAGGTTGTGGAGAAAGGGGAACCCTCTTACACTGTTGGAGGGAATGCAAGTTGGTACAGCCACTTTGGAAAACAGTGTGGAGATTCCCTCCCTCTGCCCCTCCACCCCTGCTCTCTCTCAAATAAATAAATCTTAAAAAAATAAAGAATAAAATGTTTGCAAAAGTATGTATGTGCAAGGAAGCCCCTTGTAGCATGGTTTACAATAGCAAAAACCAAATAGAACTGAAGAACCATCAGTAGGAGGCACATAATGTATCATGATCAATGCAGTTGTTAGAATATTCACAGCAGGGAGAATAAAAAGGCATTTCCTGTACTGATGGAAAAAGACTAAAAAATACTTGAAGGGAAAAGAGCAAGTGCAAAAGAGCAAGATCTCTGGGGTTTTTTGTTGTTGTTGTTTTGTTTTGTTTTGTTTTTAATTTTATTTTCTTATGTTATGTTAGTCACCATACAATACATCATTAGTTTTTGATGTAGTGTTCCATGATTCATTGTTTTCATATAACACCCAATGCTCCATGCAGAACGTGCCCTCCTTAATACCCTTAACTGGGCTAACCCATCCCCCTATGCCCTTTCCCTCTGAAAACCCTCAGTTTGTTTCTTGGAGTCCATAGTCTCTCATGGTTCGTCTCCGCCTCTGAATTCCCCCCCCCTTCATTTTTCCCTTCCTTCTCCTAATGTCCTCCATGCTATTCCTTATGTTCCACAAATAAGTGAAACCATATGATAATTGACTGTCCCTGCTTGACTTATTTCACATAGCATAAGATCTCTGTTTTTATCTTTGTTTCCTGGTGGGGGGGATCTCAAGAACCTGTTAAAAGTTTACATTAAAAAGAATTTGTCGGAAAAGAGAGACATCTGCTTTTCATTTCAAACTTTTTCTAGGTTCTGTAATTTCCAATTTTGTCTAAATATTTCTTATTTATTTAAGTTATATGAAAAACAGTTATAATTGTGGTTGCTGGGATGAGATTAGGAGTTAATATTTTGCTAGGGATAAATCCTCCCCTGGCTGAGGTAGATTAAAAGAGAGAACCGTACCAACCCATCCAAATTCTTTCCGATCATATTTTACTGCAAATCCACTAAAATACCATGTACTATACATCACTTAAGCACTGGCACAAGCTCTAATTTATAACAGCACATACCCTCGATGGTGGTTTTCAAGACTGACCACAAATCGCCTGCCCCCAGACATCCATACCCTTTGCAATGTGACACGGCAACTCTTCCCATTGAGGGGGTGAGCCTGTGTCTCCATCCCCGCAGCTGACTGGGCCCAGAACAGTGGGTGGGCAGGACGCAACTTGACGCCAGTCCCCAGCCTGCCGTGAGGGTCTTCCCATCAACGGTGGGAGACATAGTCACGCAACCTCTAGCCGTACTTCAAATTTGAGTCAGGTCCCTCCTCCCTGAGACAACCTTCCACAAGCGCACACGTTTACTCTCTGGGCCTGTTTTGGGCTCACTTGTGTTCCCTCAAAATTCCTATGCTGACGTCCTAACCCCCAGTGCTCAGAGTGTCACTGTATTCGGAGATGTGGTCTTCAGGAGGTAATCAGGGTAAAACGAGGTCACTGGGGCACGCCCTGGTGCAATACGATGGGTGTCCTTAAAGAGGAGATCAGGACATAGTCACACATAGACGGGTGTCCATGTGAGGGCATGGGGAGAAAGTTCTCTACACCCCAAGGAGAGGGGTCTTAGGAGAAACCAATCTTGCCGACACCTTGATCTTGGACTTCTAGCTTCTCCAGAACTGTGAGGAAACAGACTTCTGGTTTTAAGCCCCTCATCTATAGTATTGGTTACCTCGGGTGCTTTTGACTCAGCCTTTTCCTCACTGTGTTGTAGGCATGTGTGGAATCTCAAATCTCCTCGCTGGACAGGGGGATTCTAAGGGAGACTTTATTCCACCCATTGTTGTTTCTGTAGAGCAGAGCAGACCCATCAGCTGGAAACCTTTAGCCTCTGTGCAGATTCCAGCAATCCCATTCTGTGCTGACATTCATGCATTCACTGCTGTTCATCACAGTTCTTGGTCCCTCCTGGAGTCTAGTGTCTGGTATTTGGGCACCTACAACTCTTCTCTGTATCCCCCTCTCGTGCCCAGGTCAGTGGTTAACACCTGGTGGGCTCTCAACAATGATTGGCAGACTCGACAGGGGAATAGAACCCTGAGACACGATGCTCGCCAAAGCAAGATGGTGGCAGAGCCGGGGATCTCTCTTTCCCTTACAACCAGGCTAAGGAGCGAAGTTTGTATGTCCTAGATTTCATTCAGCTAACTGGGAAATCAGACAGACCCGGGAGGCACCTTGTCTGGTTATGTAACAGCCTGGGATGATTCCTGTGTCTCTGCAAATTAGACCTAATGCAGAGCCTAAAACAGGATATGACACTGAGGGGAAGACTCCAGAAAACCTGGAATTGCTGACTTTGCACACCCCTGGTCCACATCTGTCAGCTGGTCAGGCACACAAGGGGACGACGACTATATTCAATGCCACCATCATGCCTCAGCAACTTGTCAGGGGGATGACCCTCTGTTTGGAAGCAAGAAAGGGGCAAGAGGCCCACAGGCTTTATGAAATGTATCTTTGGCTCAGAAATATGTCCTGGGACAGGCAAATATATACTTGTTGAAAATATGAAGCCACAGATGGTTACCTATCTGAGTAAAAGTTCTCCAAGATTTAGCCAGGATAAGAACAAGAAAGACTGGTGGACATGTGGTTTTTTGGATCTGAGGTAGTTCTCAAAGAGAATTTTGAAGACCAGGCACCGGGCAGCCCCAGACCGCCGCAACATTTTTTTCTGAACTCATGCCTGTTCTCATCCCATGTATGCTTATTATGACTCAGCCTGCATTTCTTTCTTCTTGCTTTTAACATTTCCTTCCCACATCGGCTACTGTTTTTCCTCTCTTCCTTGCAGTAACACCCTGAGTTTCTGCACATATTCATTCCATGCCCACTGTACCTGTCTTCTCTGGGGAGCCACCTGTCACCTCTGAAGTGTTGTTATTGTCATTTTCTGCTTTCATGCAAGCCAGCCAGCATAAGGTGTTTTATAGGGTAGGCAGAGCACTGTTATTCAACAGTGAAGCATCAGGAGAGACAGAAACTAGGCTCTGTACACCAATTTTAGCACAGGAAAAATCGCTTATACACTTGAAAACTAAGAGTGATGATTTATTGTTTTCTGCTACTCATGAATGCTTTGTAGATCGGGAGCTGGAGGCCGACAGTGGGAAATTAACATAAATCGAGGTTTCTTACATTGTCTATAGTTGGAAAGTAGCACTTTTCGAAGGAGAAAGTCATAAAGCACTATTACCAGATGTTTTCTTGGCAAACTTTAATTATTCTCCTGCTCCCTGTCTTTTTAATGATATCCATTGGAGACAGCTACTAATTTATGCTTCCCTGCTTTTTTTTATCCAGTGGAGGGGCATGCCCCTGGGATTTCGAGTTTTTCATATGTGTCTGCTATTCCCCAGAGGTCTGAATTGTCAAATGATTACAAAATACCTTCAGCAACTCTAGCAAACAGGCCAAGGGTTTGGAAGTATAAATGGGCAAAGACATCCTATGTGGAGAGCAAAAGGTGAAGATCGTGACAATGTTAATCTGGAGAGATCACACAACACAATAGAATATGGTGCCATGCACAGAACTAAGGGTTCACATTCTTCAAACACTAAGACAACTTAGCATAAGAATATTGAGGATACAAAACATGTCTTCTCTCAGAATTTACTTCCCATCTGGAAACACTGTCCTTATTAACCAACTGACCACAAAGATTGCATCTACTGGAAATAACAAGGGAAAAAGAACATTCTTCATAGAAGATTACCAGTAAGAAAACACTGCGCAGAAAAAAAGAAAATCCTCTCATTTCAGTCATGGCTTTTCTCCCAGTGTAA